ATCCGGTCAATCACTCCCTCCTTTATCTACCAGACCCTCCCTGGGAAAAACGACCGATTTTTAGGATTATTCTGAGGTTCTTACGCGATAGCTCAACTTGGTCTACACCCGTGGCAGTTAAAAAAGTGACTGGTTAATTTTCCAGAGAGTACGTACCGGTGTTGCGGCGACCAAAACACCCGCAGCTGACACAATCGCGACGAACACAAAATTTGCGCCATCTTCCCTTCCAGCCAGGTCATAGGTCACGTGACTGAAGCTGACGTAAGAAGACCTATCCATTCAAGAAGGGGTTGTCTATGTAGAATGTTGATTTCATATCTTAAAATAGATCGAATATAACCCAATACAATGTAATTGTAGTTGGTAAAAGTTGTGAGTGATAGATGATTAGATCATAAAATCTTATTAAGTTCAAAAATAGATACTTTGATTGTGATTGAGGTATTTTTTCTCCCCATAGATAATAGACTCTTCCGTTGTAATGCTAACCGGTGCATTTGAGACTTGACATGCTGCATATGTGGAGGCCAGCCTGAATGATTTCGGATTCTGTAGTGTTTCTGCTGCGAACGTTCAGAGGGATTATCTCTCCCTTTAGGCGCAAAACATCGGACTCTCAACTGACACAAGATCCCAGCCAGAATACTCAGGGAAATACTGCTGACATGGCCTCCAACTTTACCCCTCCCTCCCCAAAACCGGAACTTTTGGTTCTTGATGTAGGTAAGAAAGGTGTTCAAATTAACAGTTTATAACTTATAATATTATACTGGCGGCGAAGGTTAAGTGAAAAGATACAGAATCGTAATTGATATGACGCAACACGAACGCACACACACTCACTCACATACACATACTAGTACATAGTCATGCACACACAGTCATACACTCACACACACAACACACACACACATACAAGTGGTTGTCATTATGAAAACTATGCTTTATAATTGTCATGAAATTATCAATAGTATCTTTTGTTTTCAGACTGGACACTATGGCCCTTCCACACTGACATGGATGTTTCACCACCCTTCAAGAAAGACAGGTAAGAATTGAATCTTTGTCACAAATGTTAAGCACTTATTTTCTGCTCATCTCAACATTGACTAATGATAACATTAATGTCTTATAGATTGACACTCTTTGAAATGTTGTTCTTACAATAGTAGAGTGTGCTCCAGTCAGATCTGGATTGTGTCTTGTAGAATGTGTGTATTGCATGGAGTCCTGGGATGGTTTCATATTCCTCCTTGAGTATGCCCTAAAGTTCTAATTTGTACCGACAGTAGTGGTGAAGTGAGGGACAGTAGAGGGAAGGCCATCCAGCCGTTTCCTGATGTACCCAGGATACTGGACTGGCTGAAGGGGAATGGATACACTCTGGCCTTAGCATCAAGGTAACGTTCTACAGAAAACATTCTTGCAATTACAGCCCAGACAACAAGAAACCTTAGTAACACATCAAAATCACTGTAGATCTGGAAACTTTAATTGTTTCCACTATGAAAAAAAATTGTACAGTTCTTGGTGGCAAATGTGCAGGTTTCAAGAATCGTCATTCCGCTATACACTATTTCATTGTATAGTTTTGAATCCTTTGTAAATAATTTTAAAGCCACAGAAGAAAGCATCGCACGAAAACAAAACAATATGATCAGTCATTACAAAAAATGGGATTTAGCAAATATATCGACTGGGTAGAATGTTTTTATGTAATTCAGTGTGTGTGTACTCTAATGCTATATTGTTTGTCTTTTTGTACGCTCTTTTGTTCTGTTGAATAAAGATTTGTTTAAAAAAAAAATGTGCAGGTTTTTGCACATTGGCGACACTGTGCAAATCCGTCTGTGTCCTCATCAGTGTTTGGATATAGTGTTTTTCACCAACATCAATAAATTTACATTAGTAAGAAGGATCATCGATTCTCAGTGATTTTATTGTTCCTTGTTTTGTCCTTGAAGAACCTGGGCTCCCAGCGACATGGAGAGACTGCTTATTCTGCTGGACTGGAACAAATATTTCTCCTACAAGGAGATTTACAAGGGAACCAAAACCAAGCATTTCTCCAAGTAAGTTCTCTGTACTAAAGTACTGTCTGTCTAAAATGTCAGTTTTACCACAACAATTAATTGACATATTATTCATTGAATTTTAACAATATTTAATAACAAACTATTAGCATAGAGGTACCATTTTCTTTCTTCATCTAGCACAGTTTTCTTTAAGAAATACATTGTCACTTTTTCTTGATAAAACAATCTAATGTTAAATATTTCAAATTGCTTAATGCATTGTCCTTGCCTCAACCAGAGAGGTTAAATATGTGCCTCAACTAATGATAACATAGACTGAGTATTAAAAGCAGAGCCATGCTAGTATGTTTATATTGTGGAATGCTTTATCATGTCACATAAATTCTATCATGTTGTATTATTTCAGGTTTAAACAAAACAGCGGTGTACCTTACAACAAAATGCTGTTCTTTGATGATGAGGACATTAATATTCATGAGATCGGCAACATCGGTGAGATTTTCTTAGTTGCTGTTCTTGTATGGACTAAAACTTCATCTTTGCTGTGTTGTGTTGTTGGCTTGTTGCATACTAATTTGTCTAATAACATGTAACGTATATCTGTATATATTGTGATTATTGGCAAATTTTATTGGCAAGTTCTATGAGAGAGAATTAGTATGATATACTGATATAGCTAAGCTTAGAGATGATGATGATGATGATGATAACAGCAACTAACATGATTACATGTATAGCCTAACTGGCATTGTTACCTTCACCAAGGATATCTAGCAGCTTTCTATGGTACTGCAGCAGAACTGTCCCTGATATCTTTATGTCTTTCAATTTCAGGAGTTATGTGCATCTTTGTCACCAATGGTCTGAACTGGAACCTACTGAAGAAGGGTCTGGAGAAGTACGCCAAAGAGAGGTCTTGACCTTCAGGAGAGGTCAAAAGATAACTCTGCAACAAATAGTTGTCACTGTGCTAAATTATGAATAAAAGTTATGCACAAATAATGTGATATGTTTTGTAGAATTTTACACATTTACACATGATGTTTTAATGGAATATGAAATTGATATTGGAATAGTTATCATTTCTGTTTCTTTTACATAGTAACATAGTCATCATTCACAATTGAGGTGAAGCATGATGCTGGGAAACTAGTGATGATAAACTCAGCTCTTGAAGGAAATTGAGTCTGACCTCATTTTTAAACGCATCAGGTCTATACCAAAAATACATTAGTATTCATGCCATAGAATTTTTCATTATATTAAGTTAACATAATACAATTCTTATGCCCTCATGTGGTGCTGAAAAATGCAGAAAGATGAAAATGGGTTAGAATCTTACATTCTGCACACATACAATATACTAGTATGTAATATGAGTAGAGAAGGCCATCAATTAAAAGAGCCTGCTAATTACACGTGCAATGTTATTTCAATAATCAATGAGACAAAATAAAACCAAAATTTGTAAAGAATTAAAAGTTATGAGGTTACCAAATCTTGTTAAAAACATGCGCCTAACTGTCAAGGAAAGGTGATACTAGCACATTTTGTTTTGTTTTGCCTTGAAAACGCCGCCATGAATAGTTAGATGTTGTGCTAACGCGTTTTGACAATAGGTAGTGTTGTGCTCCAGCCGCCTCTGGCACGATTCACTTACTGTTAACGGGCCACCACAGAGCGGGGGCGGCTGTCGCAGGGCCAGGGTTCAGTCGATACCAGCAAGCCGTCCAACTCAACACAACACAGGTTTCGTTAACTCCCAGCTGGACGCCGTACCATTGTATTGAGGTAGGAGACCAGGTAAGGAGGCTGTGAACGTGTAGAATAAGTATGTAGGACAAATCCGGACAACCTACTTACTGAAGAGACGTTGTCTTAATTCACCAAGAACGCGCAGAAGAATGGCATGGAGGGCGTGAAGTTCAAATTCCATGTTCGTGTACATGAACTTAAAGGTACCCAGTAGAAATGAGCATGGAAATATCACAAAAATGCTCATTAGTTTTGACATAAACTAGCGTTACATGCATAGGAGTAGATGTGAGAAGTTACTTAGTTTTACGTTAGTGCTGAAACGAGATACGTTGTTTATGTAGAAACTTTTGTTATGGTGAAAAGGCCGCCCATGTTAATCGAATCGCATCCGGCTTGCCAGCTCGATACGGGTCAACAACAAGGGGTCAACGCCAAAGACTATAGCAAAGTAACGGGGAACTTGAAGGAGTTTTGGAAAAGGGAAATAATGCTGATGGTTTAGTACCAAGGCAAGGAGAACCGCTGGGGTAGGCTGAAAGTGCTTGAAAGAATCACCGCACATTTCTTGCGAGAAAGTCTCAGATTATGTTTCAAAATTCTTTTCAGTTGATATTGTATACAGTAGCCAATGGTAGCTGTCAATATTAATTTAAAGGTAACCATGGAGGTAGAAAACTCCATGAGGTAACCTAGTTATGTAGAGAGCGGAAATCATATTCCAGAGAATCGAAGTGTTATTTACGTCGAAACCAACGACTTACATGAGTCATGACATTGTATAATCATTCTATATTCCTCGCAGGTTATACGATTAATCCGCCATGCCCTTTGGACCTAAATGGAGGCTCGGGGGGAACGAGACGAAGGCCCGGAAGATTTTGGAGCGTGGGCGGAGCAAGTTCTGGCTACCGTGCCAGCTGGACCGCGACGTCGCCGGGCTGGAAATCACCGAGGACGGCTGGGAAGAGACGCTGGAGACGCGCTACAGCCTCGTGGATTCCCTCAGCCACGTCATGCAACTAGAGTTTGCTCAGGAGATCTGCAGACGACAGGTCTTCACTGGCAATGTTGTCAAGGACGACCACGAGACCGTCATGATTGACGCCGATCACCCCTTACGTCATACCCCTCTGGCGTGGTTCTGTCTTGAAATGGCGCTGAAGATGAAGATAGTGGTCTTGCTGGGAATGTGAAGTTCTCTACAC